GTCCAAACCTGCAGGGAAGAATAAAAACTATTTAAAATATTTCAATCTCTCAAACTTAAATGTCCACAAAGGCATAAGTAGATTTACTGTATATCTACTGCAATACTCTATATACTAAAATATATTTGTTAATTTTTTATACAAGACCAGGGGCCGGAAGGGAGTGCTAGGGGTCTGTGTAACAGTTTACAGAAAAACAGTGTAAAAAATATTAAAATAAATACATAAATAATATTTGATTAAAATAAATAATTTAAAAAATGTATAAGTAAACAAATCTAACAGTGCAGTACTGTCATGTAAAAAAAAACACAATGTAATTATTTAGAAGGAACTATTTGGAACATATTTAGGTTCTGTTAAGCTACATTGCTTAATATTTTAGACATTTTAGATTTATAATATTCATTTTTCACAATATAGATTAAGTCTTTAAGTCTTCCAGAAACTATATAGATGCCTTTTCATTTTTAGTATCCCTGGCACAAATCATATTTGAGGTTCTGTGGTATCTAAAAGATAAAAACCCAGGTACTAGACAACAAAAATTAAGGTTTCATAACTTTCTTCTATGTAACACACACACAAAATGACAGCCTCAGTCATCATTTCCTTCATAGCATGGAGCAAAATGTAAACGATGACTGAGGCTGTCAAAAAGAAAAGCAGAAAGTAAGTCACAGGTTTGGAACAACGAGAGGGTGAGAAACTGATCACAAGACTTTCATTTCTGGGTGAACTGTCCCTTTAAATGTACAATCTATAAGCTGCCCTGTCAAAGCCAAGCATTTAGGAGCATTGTGTGTGCAACTGAAGATTTAAAATGCTTTCTAGGTTGTTAAACTATGAGTCTAGGACACTACCACTATTTTCTTGGTTGTTGTAATGACACTTAGCACGTCTCATGTGTTTCTAAACGAGCACTGTGCTCCTAACGGCTTTAGTTTGATCAACGTTATGTACAAACAGATCCAGAGCTGCCGGTGTCTTACACAGTGACGTGCCCGGATCCGCGCACTACCACCGGGTCCGGAGCGTATTTGAGCAGCTGCTCCTCCGCGGCCCTGTCCTCGTCCTCTTCTTCCTCTTCCTCCTCCTCGTAAATCTCATCAAAGTCCTCCATCATCGCCCCCCGCCTCGGCCTCTTTGCTTCCCGAAAGAAGCGCCGAGAAAGACCGTGTTTCGCTCACGTTAAGCAAATATCGGCAATAACGCAGATCGCACGGCCGAGCAGAGAAACGACGGTACAGAAATCCGGAGCAAAACATCAACATCCGCCGAAAATCTCGTGCGAGTTGATCTCGGGATACATCGCGAGAACATGTAATTGGCGCTTTCTCATCTCAGACGGCCTGCATTCTTTAACTGGTAAAATCATTCCTGCCTCAGCACTTTGAAAGAATAAAGTTTAATGATTTAGTACCATAATTAAAAACATGTTTCCCTTTTGGTCTGCATTTCCTATTTTCAGAGGTACATCAAAATACATACAAGTACCATTTTATTATATACAGTATATTAAATATAATCTACCAAGCTTTTTAATTAAACAAATCCTAATGTTTCTAAATATTTGCACATTTTAATATTTAGTATGTAATAACACACAACTTGCCAAGAAACTGATCATTTAAACTGACCAAATAACTGCTGAACTTTACCTATGAATTCTGAAAAAAAGTATTACGTTCATAAAAATATTAAGTATTTAAAAAAAATAATATTAATAAGAAATGTTTCATGACCAATGATTTCTGAAGGATCATGTGACACTGAAGACTGGAGTGTCTTTAAAAATTCAGCTAATGCTAATTTTAAAATACATTCAAATAGAAAACAGCTCATTTAATTTGTAATAATATTTCACAATCTTACTGCATTTATTTATTTGATCAAATAAATGCAGGCTTGTTGAGTGTAAAATTCAAAAATTTCACAATATGTGAAAAACAACTAATTTACAAGATATGAAAAGACACAACAAACACTACCAAATGCTCTTTTTTAATCCAACAAATCAACATCTACATGGTACACAACTGCACTGGAGAAAAACTGCAAAAACAAAAAAAAAGGGAAACATGAACACAAAAGGAAGGTAAACTGGATTATAATTTCATATAGCATGATTTGGTGGACAACCAACGCTCTGATGATAAGAAAGAAGGAGAGCGGAGAAGACAGACAGGAGTTACTCCATGGCCTCCTGGTTCTCCTGGTCAGCAGAACGCTCCTCACTGGGCTCCTTGCCCTCTTTGCTCCTTTTGGACTTCTTGTGCTTGTGGCGCCGGTGACTGTCACCCTCCTCGCTGTCATGTCTCCGTCTGCTACTGCTGTGACAGTAGAAACAAAACAGAGAACTTCAGATTGTCTTGTTACCCCTTTAAATTGATTTCCAGAGGTATTTTTTTTCTAACTTTATTAAATGTATCTTACAAGAGTCATCTTACAGTTGCATAAATAATGAGATGAATGTTTTAAATGAAGCATTTATTTATGAATGTGATGTTCTGGGAAAAGTTAAGTATACTTTTAAGATACTTTTAAATATGAATATTGTCATATGACAATAACATGATGGCGAATATAGTATGAATTTAAACCAAACGTACTACATAGAACATACTTTTTTTTTTTTTAACACTCACAAAATAATTTTTCAAAAGTACCTACTGGACACAGCCACAGTCTTAACAAGTGAGTCATCAAGTCACTCATTCCGTTCATTTGTTCAAAACAGCTGATTCATTTAGACTGTCTTATGAATGGATCATTGAATCATTCACTCAACCAAATCAATCATTCTTTAGACACAAAATATATTTTGAAGAATGTGGGTAACCAAACAGCTGATGGTCCCCATTGACTTCCATAGTATTTTTTTTTCCTCTACGGACTTTTCATTTTTGGGTGAACAATCTCTTTATTCAGGAAACAAAACATTGCTGTGTCCGGCGATGTGCAGTAGTGCTGCTGTGGCTTTGTTTGGAACTAATTTCATTGGCAGTCAAGAGCAAAACATATTGCCCCATATCTCAAAATTTGTGGGCATTATTTTCCCCCAAGCCTCCATTAATTTCCGACCCTGGTATAGTACCTCCGCGATGACTTGTGCCTCCCTTCCTCTTTCTCTCTGTGTCTCCTCTCCCTGTGACGCTCCTCCTTCTCTCGGCTCGATCGCTCCCGATGCCTCTCATACCCTCTGTCTCCGTAATCACGGTAAGAACGATACCGTTCTTCATCACTGCAAAATACCAAGTTTAATTCATCAAGAGCTTAAAAACAGAACCAGAGATACTAGAACTAATTATTTAAACCTTGAGAGGGTCAAAGATTTTTTTTTTCTTTGGAATAAAATTTACTGATGAAACATACACAATAAGAATTTAAATTAATGTCTACATTTGTCAGTTTATCAACAATTCTACACTTTCAAACTGAAACACAGAGTACATCTGTATAGTGAATGAGTGGGTTGGCATCATTCCTCACCTGTTATAAACCACAGCAGAGGGACTATGGTCTCTCTCATGACCCCTTTCCCTCGGCCTGTCTCTCTCTCGCTCTTTTTCCCTCTCTTTGTCTCGCCGAGGGTAATAGTCCCACTGCTTTGGGTTGTCCATCAAACCAGGCCAGGGGTTAACAGCTCCTTGCATGGGTGGAGGAAACCCACCTGAAAACGAAACAATCCCCAGTGCACATGCTACTTAATTGAGCTTAATAAAGCCTGGAAAGTATTTAAGCACTTGTGATCTGTACTGAGATCTAAATTAAATTAGTTTTTCAGGTGAATAGACTGGGGAGATAGTCTCACACTTACCTGTAGGAAAAGGGTATGGAGCAACAGGACGTCCGTCATATCCTCCTGGGTGCCCACTGCTAAATACAACACACAGGCAATTAATGAAGTGTTAAAATGTCAATTAAAGGTAACGTAGAGACAGTTTCACAGAAAATTACATTTCAAAAACTGTATGTATTTAAATCTAAATACAGGACCCTAAAAACAAACAATTATATTATTATATACAGTCAAACCAAAACTTATTCAGACACTCTCAACATTTCTCACATTATCAGTTTATTTGCTATCGTTTAGAAAATGGTAAGAAAATATGACAAGAACTCAAGAGTTAAAAAGGTCGCATTAGCAACTCAAGCAAAGCATGGTCAGGTCAAAGTGTCTGAATAATTTCTGGCCCCAAATTTTTATCAATTTTACTTGTAGTCCACTGAATGAAGAATATTCGGGTATAATATGTCACAGTTTACTTTATTTTGCTATCATCACTTACATAAATGAA